GGGGGGGGGGGGGGGGGGGGGGGGGGGGGGGGGGGGGGGGGGGGGGGCGCCTACTACTGCTACTACTACTACTACTACTACTGCTACTACTACTATTACTACTACTACTATTACTACTACTCGTACTCCTCTCACTCCTACTCCTACTCCTACCACTGCTACTACTACTACGACCATCACCGCTACCCCTACCCCTGCGACCACTACTCTGCTGCTGCTTCTACTGCCACGACGACTACTACGATTCTTCTTCCTCCACGGCGGCGACTGCCACTACAAATACTACTACCACCACCAGCTGCTGCTGCTACTGCAACTGCTGCTGCTGCTACTGCTACTGCTACTGCTGCTGCGACGACGACTACTACTACTGCGTCGACGACGACGACGATGGCCAGAGCGACCAAGACGCGACGACCAACACTTGTTTCGCGTGCTTACACAGTAGTAAGATTGTCGATGTTCTTTCGACTATCCTTGCAAAGGCCTATGACCTCATAGACCCCAAGCTCCAAGCCCTTCAAGCGTAAACCGCCAAAACCCTAAGCTCCTAAACCCCATAGGCCCAAAATCCTAAAGCAAGGCTTCCCTTCAGCCTTCTTTTGTCCGAGGCTCTTCCACGCCAACAACCACGAAGCTTCATCTCGTGTGGACATCGAGACAAGCCGCTCGGATCAGAGCAAATTGAGGGGCCTAGGGGATCTGCGGGGATCGGGGCTTCAGAGCATGAGGGTTTACGATTTTTAGCGCTGTTGGGTCCAGAGGCCTTGGGTTCGGGGTTCAAAATGCTGCTGTTGCTGCAATGTCGTCGTACGCGTACAGGCCTTTCTCTGTCTTGCCTGAACATGGTTGTCTTGGCAGCTTGGCAGGTGGTGGCGTGCTCTACGTGGCGGGATCCACGAACTATCATTGGATGTCGCATGACATTGCACATAATTACACCCATGGGAGGTAAATTTCAACATTTGTTCCGAGTGTTTCCGGCAAGGTTCTAAGTGTTGTCGGGAAGGTTGAGCAGGTGTGGGTTTGGGCGGCAGCACTGATGGCGGGGCTTAGATGCTGGAGTGGTGTGTTGATTTTGCTCTCGGCCCATGTGGGTGTTGGCTTGCGCCGCGACTGCTGGAGCCGAACTACGGAGAACCAAAAGCAAAAACTCTGGACGCCGGCGGGCCGACAGCCAACAATCTTCCAGGACCCATTGGCGGTGGCCAGGAGAAGAGAGCAGCAGAAACAAATTCTGTGGCCTTTGAAGTATAACTTGTGTTGAACGACAATTAGGCTTTAGTTTCTGGGCTGCCGTGAAAAGGTAGACTGCAACAAATGGCAGAGATTTCAGCTCCAGCCAATATCATGTGTGGTATTCAATAGTGTTGTAGATTTTTTCTGGCATCATTGGCAATTATCAGGTCTTCATAAGCTATGAGGATGTCAAGACCGTCAGTACCAGCGCTAAAGGGAGAGGACATAGCACTCAGTGTAAAGGGTCTTATGATGGCCACCGCTAGTACCCTTATGAAGGAGCCATCTTCCAGCGTGCTTAGTAGAACTGTTGTTGACGGTAGCTCACCCTAAGGGTCCATGTACCCAAATAGCATGTACTTTGGCTCCAAAGTACCTATATAGGGACTATTGCAAGGTCAAAGTATATACTATTTGGGTACATGGACCCTTAGGGTCATCTAAGGAGTGTATCGGGTATCGTCTTTGCCCCGGACACGGTTGGGCACATCGCTCTTCCTCTGGCAGGCCCGGTTGGGGTTTCCTAGGTAGTACTAGGGAGACCCCTTAAAGGGGACCCTTCTGAACCCTACTTCTGGCTCTCTTTGAGAGGGTCTATATCCCCAAAGATTCCCCCTAATCCTAACTCCCAGGGTTGGCACCCTTCCGAAAGGCTTTCAATTTGATGGAGTAATACAGTCCCTCTCGAATTCACTGCGAAAGTCAAGCTCATAGGGTTTACCATTTAGAGTTTACATTGTTAAGTTTAGTGGCGGTGTCTTTATGCTGCGAATCTGTGGACTCATGCCTGGTTCCGGGGTACGTAGTCAGTGAGCAGTATCCGTGTGGCCATGAATCAGTTCATGTTCCACGATTCTGATTTTGCAGTTGCAAACCGTTTTGGTCAAATGAGAGCGCACCTGCAGAGCAAGTGACTACATTGGCCAAGAACTGGGTTGGTAACGAAGCATCACACGTCAACGCAACCGAACACCGAGCACTGTGTCTGCATGCCCCCCCCCGCAATCTAAAGCCCCTTTGGGTTCCTTGTTTGAACAGCGAACCCTACAACCCTCAGAGCGATCGGTTTCCCAGAGACTCCAATATCCCTTAATTAAAGAATATACCTTAAATCTTATGAGGGTTCCTGTTATATTTTTAAGGCATATTCCTTAATTAAGGGACATTGGAGTCTCTGGGTAGAACTCTCCGTCTGACGCATCAGTGTCGAACCAGGTCGCCAGGGCAAGTTTTTTCGATTTCGGGCTCAGTGCTTCGGACTTAGGTTTTAGGGTGTGTGGGTAGGTGTGGGGGTTAGGTTCCTGCACCCCAGATGAATTGCAAAGCCCTGTTTTTTTCGGCGGTTTAATGTCAAGACCCTTATGATCTTTTCAGTAGGGGAGAATATCAAGTTCTTAAGTGTAATCTTATTGAAGGAACACGCAACTCTCCTGCCTGCGTTTAGGACGGGGATTCAAAATTACGATACCTTCGGTAATCCTGATTAAGTTCAGGGAAGCGGGTTTCGCAAGCAGAGGTTTACATCCGAATCATCTTAGGACCTTGGGCCTCTCGTTGGACCATCAAAATCCCTCGGCCTTTGTTGGTCGCAAGGACCATGTCTTTCCATGGGATTACATGTGTTAAGCCTATTCCCAGAGAGCCCAATACCGCTTCATTAAGGAATATACCTTAAATCATAATATTAAGGCCCGTATAATTTAAGGTATATTCCTTAATTAAGGGGTGTTGGGCTCTCTGGGTTGGTATTGAGGATGCCAAACCCTAAACTGAACGTTGTGTGACCCTGAACTGCTAAACGCTATACCACTTATTTAAGACTCCTAAAACCCAAAACCCGACTGTTCGCCTATATAGTAGAATGTCGGGTTTCTATATCAAGAATAGTCATTATGATATGGGAAAGTATCCCCTATAGCAGTACCTAGGACCCTTTGGGACCCCAATACCTCAGCCCCAGATCCCTCAAGGGGCCTGGGTCGGCTATGGCGGGGCTTACGAGTCCCCCGACTACACTGCCGCTGTCCTGCAGATGCGGGATTCAGAAGCATGTTGTAAGGTTTTCCAGGAGCTTCTTAACAGTGTTATGAGGGTTGTAGAAGGGCTGTGTAGGGTCCTATATCGGGCCTGAAAACGTAAATAGGCTCTGCGGCATGTTATTACTGTATTATAGGAGAAGATGGGAAAATGTATGTCAGGGACCAGACGGGAATGTTATTGCCAGCTGTTCGAATCCGCATATTATATTGTAGATCAGAGCCCGGCCAATACCAACTGAATGAAGGAATCTGCTGTACATGATGGTAAGGCACCCAAGAGGGAAAGGTGCCCTCCTTGAGTTAAGATATGCTTCCCAGATCCTAATAACAAGCCCTATTCAGCCCCAAACCCTAAACCCGTAACCCCCTAAACCCTAAACCCCAAATAGTCAGCCCCAAACCCTAAACTGTTCACGGCTTCCGAAGCCCCAACGAACCCGGAAGACCTTCGCGTCAACCTGCAGCGCAGACCCTGCCGTGAACTAGACCATAGCCTCTTTTTTTGTGGTACCTTAACCCCCCCAAAATAAGGTAATCCCAAAAAGGAACTACTATGGAGCCTATGGGTAGGCTTTGCGGTTAGGGTTTCGGGTAGGTCGAAGGTCTCAAGGAGATTAGAACTTACTTAAACCCCCAAAAGTAGGTAAAATAATGGCCCAAAACCCATAAAGAGGCTATTATTCTACATAGTTGGGGTCCAGGTAGGTTCTTATCATAAACCCTAAGTTTTTGTATGAGTCGTAAAGAAATCCTACCAAAGGCCCTACCTTCAACTGCCATAGCCTACTTTTGTGTAGGTTCTGATTAGAGACAGAAACCTAAGCCCTAAACCCTAAAGAAACGTGTAGGTCTCGGTAGGTACAGGCAGATCCCAATCCCTGGATTGAAGCCCTTCATCTCTCATTTGCGGAGTTGCCTCGGAACCCCAAATAACCTTAAACCGGAGTAATTCAGGCGGTTTAGGGTCTTAGGGTTTTACGTTGACTGCATTCAAAACATGTGTGAATGGCCCCTGCCAGTTTTTATAACAAAAGCACGCAACATTTTGCCTGGCAAACTTCGTCCAAAACCAGAAATGCTTGAAGGGAGCAGCGCAGATTCGGGGCGATCGAAGTCTTTTCGGACATGGGCAGATCTAATCGCGTGGTTAAGCGATTATTTCTTTGAAAGTCATGAACCCTAAGGCCCCTGAACCCCCTAACCCTAGGTCCCAAATTTGGTGTTCTCCTCCAAGCCATCAAGACTGTAGCTTACAATACCCCGTAAACCAAACCCTCTAGAGTTAGGCTTAACCGCGGCAAGACCCGAGGTCCGCAACGGCATTTGCTCCGTTGAAGGACTGATCCATGGAGGCCTCGGCCGAGTTAGGGTGTAGGTGTTCGGTAGGAATCATGATTCACCCTACTTTTTCGCATCAATCCAAGGGTGTCTTGCACGTAGCTCCCCCAACACCGTAGCACATGACTATGGGGTTCTAACCTTAGGAGTAATTCCCTAAACCTTAAACCCTAAATCCATGGGGTTCTAACATTAGGAGTAATTGCCTAAACCCTAAACGCTAAAGGTTCTAACATTAGGAGTAGGTAAGGATCATCCGGTGAGGGTTTCAGTGTTGTGGGTGGCACCGAAATCCCCACATGTGGCTCCGGCTGTGTTTCCGTGCATAGTTTGCGCTCATGTCCTTGTCCCAGTAGCAGGATTTAGGGCTTACAGGGTTTAGTATGATTGACACAGTTAGCATGTTTTTGGTCTAGGGTACTTAGCCCCTAAGCAAAATGAGTAGCTAGATGATGACGAAAGACCGGGGAAAGCTCATTGTAGCAGGCCTCAGTCGATTGTGGCGGGTGGTAGTGTAGGATGAAAGAAAAAGCCCCCAAAAACCCTAAAACTTTCCTAAACCCGAAACCCCTAAACCCTACACCCTGGTATGTAGTTATGTAGTGTAGGACGAAAAAGACGGGTTCACCATGAAGGGTGCTTCGTCTTGGTAGTTGTTGGAAGTTATCGGGCCTTGGTTCCGAGATATTTGGGTACCCCTCAGGGCCCTTAAGACAGGGAGGGTCATGGGACTGAGTACGTAAGATCAGAAGTACATTAAAGATCAAAAATACTTATAAGCATAGCTACCTTATTTATCACCTAGCTACCAAGTCCCATTTAGTAAGTAAGGTTATACGTACCTTAAATGAGGTGAAAAGTAATTATAAGCATCGTTACCGTATTTAAAGCCTATAGTTACTAAGTCCCATGATGCTGTTAAGTGGGCACCCCTAAACCCTCCTACTGTGCTATTGCTGTATTCATTGCTATATTACTGTATTACTTTGCTACTACTTTACACCCTTCCGAGGATCGCCCTCTACCGGGCCATGACGCACCAGCCGCACACCCCTCTAAAGAGCCAATCTCCTTCTACAGCCCCAACCCCTGACCCGCAGAGCACGCTTTTCAGGCCGCCGGAAATCTTTGGGCCCACAAAAGCCCGTTCAACATGAAACCTTGAAACGCAAAACCGTAAGCCAGCAAAGCCCAAACCCAATGATCCCCAAAGGCCTATACCTAAGACATGTAATCTCCCGCAAAGCCAGACACTAAAGCCCTGAACGTCATGTTAGGCGACAAAAATAGTAATTAAAGTCTTTAAGCCTCGAAACCCCTTGTTAAAAGAGACTTGATGCTTTAGGAAAGGACCCTCAACCCAAATCTCTGATCCCCGAACCTCAGAGTACGGTTAGGGCAAACGACCATGGATGCCCTAAAGCCTAAATTCGAATCCGTAACACAAAGCAAGCTAATGTAGGGGCTTTGATAAAATACGCCTACACTATTGTCGGGGTTCCTATTACAGTGAAATCCCTGTATAAGAACCCCATTCCGCGAGAGCGGCCTACCCTACCTAGAGTCTCCATTGTAGTTCCTTTTTGGGGTTACCCTTTAGGATCCTTAATATAGAATTGGTTAAACCAAAAAAAGGAACTACAATGGAGACTATAGGTAAGGTTCTCGTAAACGACATAGCGTCAGACACTAGTTTTGATTTAGCCGCAGGGGTGGGGGTGGGGTTGGGGGGCAGGGGCGAGCAGGAAAAAGCGAATTAGTGTTATAGACACTATCTGGACCCCAAAAGTATGTAGAAGAATAGCCTTGTAGGGTTTTTTGGGGCCATTATTTTACTTGCTTTGGGGGGTTTAGGTAGTTCGTTTTGGCCCCGGGCGGGCAGCGACCACCCGTTGGCTTCTCTGGGAAAGCATTTCATTCGCCGTCCTCGATTCTCGCCAGCATGTGGCGGGGAAGCATTGGCGCCGTGGTCGTGAATCCTGCCAGTACTTGGAGTCATTTGAGGGAAAGTATTTTGGCCGTGGTCCTGGATGCGGTAGAGTATTCGAGGGAAGCATTGTGATAGTGCTCCTGAATCCCGACAGTACTTCGTACTTGGGGGAATGGTCTTCTCTCGTTTCCTGGCGGTCTCCAGGTGGTCTGCTGGGGGGTCTCCTGGTGGTGCTCTTGGTTGTGGTGGTCGTCATGTCATGGCTGTAGGGATCGAATGCGGGGCTCTAGATAGCACCCGCAGTGCATCTCAAGATGTCCGGGTTCGGAGGTTGTGGCTGAGGGATTCAGGGTTTAGGGGTTTGAGTGTTTGGAAAAAACCTTATAATGCCCTGAACCTACGCCCTGCGCCCTTCTTCCAGGCGAATGGGGTCACTTGGCAACGCTTCCAGAAGACTGCCGTCCTGCTGATGGTGCGCTGATCTTCACCGCGAACAACCATGCGTCGAGCCTCTTCTTTCAGTCATTTCCCATGTGCACTCAGGGTTCTTCGATTTATGTAGGGTTAAGTCTTGGGACTTATGACTTAATCAGCCTCCCCTCTTTAAAAGGCTTCCTCCGGCCCGCACATCGCCACTACGGTTGATGATATAAATCCTGCATTACTCAGAATATAAGGAACATACTATAGTTCCCATAGTTTAGGGTTCTTAAGGTAATCCAGGATTCAAACCATCAACAGTAGGGAGCAAGATGTTGATGATTCTCCGTGATACTCCCTGCCCTAAACCCTGGAAACCCAAGCCCAAGACCTAGGCCTTAAACTGAACCATGTAATATAGGGGCCTTAATATAATTGCCTATACTATTTGGGGGCTCCTTACTATAAGTATAGTATACTATATACCCCCAAACCCTATTCTGATGATTAAGGCTCTGATGATTAAGGCCCCTACCTTACCCAAACCAAAGGCCTAAACCCTAAATCCTAAACCCCTAAACCCTAAACCCTAAACCCTAAGCCCTAAATCCTAAACCCCAAACCCCCAAACCCCACGTCACCAGGCCAAGCTTGATACGGGCCTAAGCCCTACCCGGATCTTCGCAGGCCTTAACGTTTCAACCTCAAGTTCTCGCCAACACCTAGTAATTTTGGGTTTAGGGTTTAGGGTTTAGCGGTGTAGGGTTTTAGGGTTTAG